ATCCACAACTCGGGGACGCGCCTGGTAGCATTCAGCTCTGCTCAACCCGAAGATATCCGGGTAAGCGAGAAGTTATATGCTACATTTTGTTGTGATGGCATGATCAGAGTGCACGGAAAACGAGCTTGTGCTCACATCAGGTGTTCTGTGGGTTGATTTAAATATTTAGAAACAACCGTATCCTCTTTCAAGGATATTGTCATCGATTTACTTCCAGGTGACAGGCTGTCTGATTTAGAATATGCAGACGACATTGTGCAGCTAAGTGAAGATCCATTTAAGTTGCAAGCTTTTCTGAATAGTTATAATATTATTGTAGCCATGTTCGGTATGCATTTTGCATCTTGAAAGTGTAAAATGCTACTACAAGACTGATTTGTTCCAGCACCCAGCCTCACTCTAACTGGGAAAGTAATTAACAAAAATGTACAAATGTTTTTATTTGGGTGGCTACATCTCACCCGGTGGACGCATCAAAGAATAAGTGTCAGCTAGCATACAGAATGCTCGTTTGGCACTTGCCAACCTGAGACAAATGTGGTGCCGTCGCAATACCCGGCTGTCTGTTAAGGGTCGAGTGTGTGCTGCAACAGTTTGGCCGGTTCTGCTGTATGGAGCAAGAACTTAGCCATTAAGAAAACAGCAGTCCTATTGAAGGTTTTCGTAGGAGTGCTTCTGAAGGAGATGCCCCTATTGTCTGACGCTCACGATCCTCTTCAATTTGGTTATAAATCTTTTCATTCCATTCGTGATACAGTCTTCCACGCTGATCCTTCTGTATCTTCTTCGTCGGATAAAGGATCCAGTATCGTTCGTTTGATTTGCCTTAATGATGCCAGTTGTTTTGTATCACTTGACCGTGGCATTGTGACTCAACTTCTTTCTGATTGCGGCCTGGGGTTTAATTTGTCAAGTGCCTTTATCAATTCAATTACTTCTCACATTGGACGCTATTCGCCTTTATAATCTTCTTCCACCCTAGAGATCAACTCCTCTTCATCCTTGGTATGATTATTACTATTGTGATTTTGGAACCATGCTTGCTGGCTGGCCGGTGTTAAACATTTTATGTAAATATACCCCGCTCGATCCAATGGGCAGCGCGGTCGTGATTCTCCTGCGCGACGGCTGATGCAGTATGGAACTCTTCATAGTTTTTTTTATCTGTTGAAGTTTGATGTACTGGTCTGCTAGGGTGTCCAACCCCTCAAGCAGAAGAAGGATTAAGCTTATCATCTAAAACCTTTAGTTCTGGTCAGAACTTAACCGCAAGGCAGTGAGTGCATTGAAGTTGGTACCCATTTACCTAGATCACTGACTGAGACACCAGTTCGAGTCGAACCCCAACCTGGAGTACCAAGAGACTGAACTTTGTCTCACCCTTCGATCTTCCAGAGATGAGAAGATCTTCTGGCTTGAGTAAAGGCATCCTTTGTAGCTTGTTGGGTTATAGCGGTACACAACCCATTGCACCACGTCAAGGTGCAGTCTCTTCGTGGTAACCTTTAACCCTAAAATAGACTCCTTTCTAGTAATCAGACATAACATGCTGTTCAGAGTGCTATAATTCCCAGCAAAGGATTCTGTCGAATATCTTAAAGTTACTTTATCACATCACCTTCCGTGATCCAAGCCCACTGTAGGCATCTTCACCGGGGTCTGTAGATTGCTTTTCTGTTCTTTCAGACTTCAAAATGTCTGCGGTTCTTAAATTTGCATCAGCCTACGTTCCTTCACACTATTTTTTCTGTTTCTCAGTATTTACCCCGGTCTAAAGGAGAAAGACTTTACCCTCCCTCATTTCCGGATATCTTGTACTTTTTGGTTTCAATTAATTTCGTTGTTTGCAATCATGTTGATGCTTTGTGACCAGTGTGCCATCCATTTACACTACCCATTGAAATAAACTGCTTGCACATCAGTCTCATTAAATGTGTGTCTGATACAATGTCAAAGTTTTATTATGGGTATTACTTACAAACAGATGCTTTTCTTGTCCCATAGGGTGTTAACACGAATTGAACTTTAACAGTGATGAACAGAATTCTATATGCTGCATTTGGTTGTGGTTTGTGTTCTCATGGATGTTGGAATGCAATGTGTGTTAATGATTCGTCAAGTTTTACCTTGAAAGAATCAATCGTCTCGGCACATACAACATGAGGTGGTAGGGAAATCCAGGCAGTGCACACTCTGACGGCGAACGCATGACGTCGGCAGTCCAGTCGAGATTTTTGGAGTATTAACTTGAATGAACGTTTGATGACAACGTCAGAAGTCGGCGACAAGGGTGGTTTGGGTTGTGTAATATTTGGTACACTAAAATCAAGCCTCCTCGAATCCGACGATACTGAGCAGAGTATAGACCCAACAACTGCAGTCTCCCTATGTATGAATCCTGATAGAGTCCTTGACCACCTTCATGGCGAGCCTTTGTGGTCGCTGCAGAATTTTATTGTAACCATGGGTTCCAAGTTTGGATGGCATACTCAATATGCGGCCGGATGTATGCTGACAACAAACGTGAGAATAACGATGGTTGAAAATGACCGAAAACACGTTTAAGTAGACCGACATGTTTGAGCGCTATTGATGAAGCTCTGGCGCAGTGTAGGCGTTCGATATTTAGTCTTCTTCCTGCACGTACCACAACCTATCGAAATGGCATCGTCCCTTATCTTGTCTGTATCTTAGTAAATCGGACAAATGGCATTATTGACTTAAAATACCGTACTGGCTTTAGTGTTTTATTGTATCCCATTGATTCATTTACGAATTTTTTCCACGACAACTCGTCGCAAATGTTCTTAAAGTATAGTTAGACTTGACTTTGAACCTCGTGTACCCTCTCACCTTGTCATCGAAGGTGATCAATTTCTCATAGTCGTTCCTCCTTGTCCCTAAAAGTCCTCAGATCAAGTGCGCGAACGTTGTATTGTTGCAGCGCAATTTGTGGTCCACCATTTGGAATCTCGGGGCTGATTTCACCTCTTAACATCCGGATACTGTGTTGTCCTGGTGGTGTAAGGACCGTTCTCGTATGCCCTGTACCCGATTATCACATTGTCATACAAATAGCAATAAATTCGTGGATTCTGTGCACCACATTCACTCACACTAAAAGCGGACGCAGTGATTTGTTGGTGATTATTACCACTTCAATTACATTACATTACATTTTCTTTATAGAATCAGAACACTTATCGTTTTACAAACATATTAACGAATTTTGAATAGTGACCGATACAATGGTTTTCTTTGCAATACAAAAATGAAATATATCGCTGAGGTATATCTGGTCTACTGCAAATAGTTTCACATAGTGACCTCTGATCGTCATGTGAGTGAGTGGGTGCCTTCACACAAACAGCTCACATGCCCCTGACCTCTCAATTCATTTGTGTAAACATGGAAGTCACTCTCACAATGGCTGTATTCCGTTCGCTATGCTGGACACAAATTCCAATCTCGGCTTTCGTGTCCCCTCCCCCCCCCCCCNCCGCGTATCTATCACCCCCTGTCCTGCTGCAGCTTCTCCGTGGTGTCGAGTATTTGCACGCGAATTGGTTGCTGCATCGTGATTTGAAACCAAACAATTTGTTTCTCAGTCCGCAAGGCAAAGTGAAAATCGGGGATTTCGGTTTGACCAGACAGTTTGGCACGTCTCCATCTCGACCAATGACACATCAGGTAGCCACTCGATGGTATCGGGCACCGGAACTGTTCTACGGTTGCACCCAGTACGGAGTTGGTATAGACATGTGGGCTGTCGGATGTATTATTGCCGAGTTTCTACTACGTGCTCCATTGTTTCCCGGAGACTGTGATCTGACCCAGTTGGCGAAAATATTCGATGTAAGTTACCTGACTGATTCACGCTCACCGTTTTGTTCAAAATGCGGTGTCATTTCACAATATCTTCCTCAGATTTAGGGGGTTTGATTTGATCAGTTGTTGATCGGTAACAAGTCTCGATGATATCCGAGATATTGTTCAGTATTCTGTACGGTGCGCCCATTCCTAGCTGTTTCATTAGTTTCTGAAATCCTCAGTATGGTTGGGGTGGGTGTTTCAGATTGCGATTGGTCACCCTTAGCTTGTACCTTGTGGATTGCTCCCATACGACTGAGCGTCTCAAACAACCTCCGCTGAGGAAGCCCTACTCACTGTATTCTCGTGACGGTGTTCTCCCACCAAAGGGAGGGAACGAAAAGAGAATATCCGGGGCAATAATCGAGTTGGTGAACCACTGGCAGTTCACCCAGGA